CCACAATAGCAGCATTCAGCAAAGTTTAATGTTAAACGTAAGTGGTGCGACACTTTGGTTACACTCCCATCAAATGGGAAAGTCATGGTTGGGGCAAACAAATGGTTGTCACACCCAATAGCAGGAGATTGACTGTAGGTTTCAAAGACCATCATTCTCCTCTTCATCATCTCTTCCCATATGTCATTAAAATGCTTCGTGCATTTTGGACTTTTAACTGACTGACTGACCTCTGACTTATGACGAGAAATGTGAAGAATGGGGCTCCTACTGCAACTTTCTTGGAAAGTATGCACACAGCACAGGTTTTCCCTTAATGATTCACTCACTATACCTTGCTATTTCACTCCATATTCTTTGAAATCCACACCACATCATCCTCACTAGACGATATGCGGTGTATATGCGTGTGCGTAGACTTAGATGGAAATTTTCGCCTGAAATTCGCCTCATTCCGAAGGTCAAAAGTCCCGTGTCTTTGCAAGACTTAAACTTGCGAACAACTCCTACTGCTATGTGAAATGCATAATGGGAAGAGAGAAGGGATTCTATTCAATCCTTCTTTCCCACATTTCCTTGTTTATATTCCCCCAAGTGATAAGTGCCACCTTCTTTGGAATTGTCGATTCGTTTGAAAATGAAAGTGATGTAGAAACAGAGGTGTCTAGGACGAAGCTGTTTGCTCCTCGAGACGGAGCGTTGCATAAAGGTGGAATTTGTAGCCAGATTGTCTCGTTGAGAACGGGTTAGGGATTCCAACAGTAATAAAAGGCTTTAAACAGTTTTTAGTGGTCATTAAATTGTATTGCGCAAACTTATTATGCTGGAGGGCAGAGATTTGAGCAACTACTGCTAATCTGGTACTGCAGAATCACTGTGCCCCTGGAAGCATAATTGACTGCCTTAAAAGTCGTGATTAAGCAAAATGAATCCAATCGCAAATTTGTGCACACTTGAAGCAGTGATGGTGTTCTCAAATACTGCTTGTTAAAAAGAATTTTTCGTGTAAAAGGGCAATGAGGTAACGATGCTCGATTTTGCTGTGTGCCTAACCCCTCATTCAGTTAGAGAACCTTATTGGGGAAGGCTTAATGTTCATCGCTAGTTGTAAGAACACTTCCCTAAAATCCGTCATTCAATAAAGTACGGGATTTTAAATAGTTTAATGGGGGTAAGGTTTTGCTTCCTTTCCTTCTTACCACAGTGTTTTCATTTCATTGCTGTTCAGCTACATCCATTTGCTTTCCAGCCAGCTAGTAGGGACATGGGGAAGTACCGAGCGTTCACTTTATACAGATATTGCAGACAGCTCCGTAACGAACTTTTCGGGTGGTTTAAGGCTATTGTCACTCTAGTTGTTAACAACTTCATTTCAGACCAAGGAACTGGGGTAGTCGCAAAAGGTAGACGTCATTTTCAGACTCTCTCTTAGGGGTCGTCACAAATTCTCACATGTTGCAGCATTTGCCCATCTTCGTCACATTAGGTTCAAACATTTAGTGATAGAAATTGGAGTAGTTGTCCTTTAGAGCGGGTTTGCATTCCTCTGCTACCATTGTAGGGCGTCAAGAATTTCCTGAAGACGAAAGACATGATTCTAGGGCAGAGTATCTGATGCTGGCGTACGGAAGGGATGAGGTGGCCACTGGCAATGCCAGGAGGTAGTTCAACTTGGTATAAGTACAATCGCGGAACCGTGGAGTTAAACAAAAATCAGCGTATGCTAATTGAAGGGAGCAATGAGTGAAGCACACTTCGCACGTCCAGGCACACTGGAAGTGGATCGAAAAGATGGTAAATTGGCAAACCCGCAAGCTACACTGACGCTAATAGTTAGTGGTATATCTGCTTACACTCTTTCCAGTTATGCTAATAACTAACAGTTTTATCATAAAGGCAACTTTATGTGCTTCAAATTAAAATTGAACAAATTATTCCTATTGAAATATTCTTTATATTCACCCTTTTATATGTACATAAGTTTTTCAATGCAATCAAATATTTTATGTTCTATTTTGTGGTCAAAACTATCAAAAACCCATTATTTTTGAACCTTTATCCCAGTAGTTGTAAACGCCTCCTTTTATTCGTGTGGTAAGTTCTCCTACCCCACTAAAGCTGCTATCCCTTCCAAGTTCCTTTATTACTTCTTCCTCACAGCTGGATTTGTTGACAGTATTGTATGAAAGTCAATTAATTTTCCAGATATTCAGTCGTTTTAGTGTCTTGTGCCTTTCAAAGTAGAATTTCAACTTAAAGTTCAGCTTTTTCGGTATCAATTTAAAGGAAGTAAATTTGGATCTCCTCTTTAGTATTTTCAACTGCATATAACTCCCTAAAGCAGGTTCGTCTCAAATGAAAATGGGTCACTGCAGTCTTAATGCTTTATTATTTTATTTATTTTTACTTTGTTTTCCATTTTCCATTTGCTCCGTGTGCGATGTGGGGGCTAAGGTAGAAATAGTGGGACGCTGCGTTTACGTGAAGCCACTGGTAAACTTTAATCACTGATGCTGTGAGGAAAACACCCACCAGCCAATTGCGTCGATCATGGAATTGACCTTCAACTGAGCGGATATTTGACCACAATGTCACTGATCCCTCTTGACAATTCCATTGCATCTGGAGTTTCATCCTGTTTAGGCAATGCATTAGGGGAAGGAGGAATGCACTGGCCATCATGCGTGTCCAGCCCTAGTAGTAGTAAGAACACTGGCCTAAAAGCAGTCATTTAATAAAAAACGAAATTTTTACTACGTTCTTGGGGATCGAGATTCGCGTCCGCCCCTCCTTGGTACTTTTTTGTCCTTTTGATGCTGCCCAACCACATCTATCTAAGTTATATCCATCTCGCGGGAAGGTGATGGGGGTAACATGTGTTCACTTAATTGACATCTTCAGAGTTGCAATGGACAGCTTTGTAACGAACTTTTCTAGATGGTTTATGGCCACGGCTTGTGCCGCTTCATTTGTTAATAGAATTCCTGCGGAACACAAGACTGAGGTGGTTTCCGAAGGTAGACGCCATTTCCAGCCCTTTTATTGGGGGTCTTGCCAGATTCTCCCATTCCCAGCAATATTCCCATCTTCCATCACGTTAAGGCTTAACATTCAGTAATAACGAGCAGAGTAGTTGTCCTTTAGGAACGAATTGGTTTTCCACTGCCACCAGTGTGCTGCTCTAAGTCTTTCCTGAAAACGCGAGAAGTCACAAAAATGTGAGAGGAAATTTTATTGCTGACAGAGGATTTATGAGAGGTTACCGGCATGGCCCGAGGTCCATGATGAAGTACAATAGTACAATGGGAGAACCTTAAGCGCCCTCGTAACCAAAACGACGGATTAGCCAAACGATCAAAGTATAACACCTCTACAAAGGCAAAACACTTTTGCTTCTAAATCCGTGCAATTATTACGCCTAGATTCCCTTACATAATCTTACATATCAAACATCGGCGACACATGTGTTGAATTAGGTGGGAAAAAAAAGTATGGCAAAGTGCCCTATGTCATACAAAAATAATAAAACATCTGGTCTGTAGTGTTTGATTTGCCTTATAAGACCTAAAAAAGCACTTCTAATGCTACAAATTCTTATCATAATATAAGTAAGTAAAGACGAAATTGTGCATAAATTAAGAGGTGCATTGCCTACAAGTCCAGTCGACTAATAAGCCAAAAGTGGCCGGCAGTCTGTCGATAGCAATTTGTGGTGACAAGACGCACACAAGGTGATGTGACTGACTAGCTGCTTCCGAATGCAAGAAAACACCGGGTGTTATTCCACTGTGCCTGCATTTACTTATTGGACCAGATTGAAAATGCAAGTGCCTTTTGACAATAAAATCATGAAGCCGTTTGTTTTTAAGTCAATGAACTCTTACCCCGCCAGTTAACAATTAAGCTTAAGATAGAGCATGAGATTTGAAAAGCGAAGGAGACACTTTTTATCTGCTAAAACCCAAAATTAAGTGCACAATGACAACAGATTCTTATGTGTTTTGTGGTGGAATATATCTGCTTTTAAGTGTACATTCGATCATAGATGACGCCATTATACTCTAATACATCTGTTTTCTAGGAGCTGTACTACCTGAAAAATGCAAAAATTTGATTACTGGAGGAGGAAGTGTCAATCCTTTTGGCGAAGGTGACGGGCATAATCGGTTTACTTTAGATTTCGGACGGCGCAACTTGCCAAATCACTTAACGGAAACGACAGCCCTGGGAACAAGCCCCGTTTTCAGCGAGAACTAGGTGAAGCACACCCGCAGACGAAACATGCATTTCTAATCTACTTCCGCCCAAACTCAAGTGAACTCGCATAATTTGAATTGGACGTACTAATTTCAGCATTCCATCTAATAACCATATGCTACTTACAAGTTTTAACAGGTTTTGCGAATACTCAGCTTACGAGTGTTTTTTGCTGATGAGAAGAATGTTTTTCAATTAAAGGTGACTGGATTATAAATTGACCTAATTTGGGACATGCTGCCTCATTCTGACTATTACGATTCCACAGTGGATCGAGTTTCCATTTATAACATACTTTCCTCAGACGCAAATTATTTTTTCGTAATGTTCTACCCACTTTTTTGGATGTGTTGTATGCATCCAAGTGCTGGATTTATGTCGTTTTGTGCGTTCTGCAATAATCAAATCGTACCCTTATTAACACCTCTTGCCTTGGCAATCATTTGGAGATTTCGGATGCATTTTTGAATTAAGAGTTACTAAACTTTACCTCTTTATATGCGCTTGGTAGATAGTTGCCTCAGCGCTAAATGCTTGATCCGAGTGTTTACTTGCGAAGTTAATTTAAAACAAGTTGTCGAGATTACTTTTCAAGTTTATTTTTTGTCTACGATTGATGTAAGCATAATGCGGTGCATTTTGCCTCAAATTTATTGGTCTACTGAAATTAAACTAGTAGACACTGTTGGATCCCCAATTAGAAGGGCAGCCGTTTCCACCCCTACTCGTTTACTGACTTATGCGAATTAAATTTGCTTAATTTTTCAGTCATATTATCTTTTTGTATATTTGTTAAAATATTGCACCTTTCTACGAAACTAACCAGTTAATCAAATCAGTTTTTTCTGGAACCACTGAGTGTGAATTAGTTCTATCTTAAAACTCAAGGCTGACCTTCACTGAAACAGATTGAACGTTCGCACGACTGCTTGCACGCAGCACTGGTTGGGGTACGGAGCGTGATAGATATGTGTAAATTTATCACTTGATCGTTTATTGTCGAAGCAGTTTCAGAGCTGTCATTTAAGTCTCTCTATGTTCACAGGCAAAAGCCCTCCAATCCGCCTTTTTCCTCCACCATTAATTGAGTGATAAAATATTCAAAGTGTATTATCTGACCTCATTTTGTGGTACTTTTTACTCAGTTGTGTCAAAATATTGAGATGATTGCTTTAATTTGCCCCAACTAGGCATTATTACCTTAAAATCCCAACTGCATAAAAGTAGGTTGTAGGTTATTTATGTTGGCATTTCTTTAGGATATGGTTTTGTTCTGCATCCGGAACTCCATGACAAGACATTCCTGCATCTACCTGTCATTTATCACCTTGTGTCATTTTATACAATCTTCTTCGCTGTCATCTCTGTAGCACCTTGACTTCCCTGAAGACGAAAGAAGATACAATACTCGGGCAGATTATATATATTCGACATACAGTAAGGCTCGGGCTACTGGTATGGCTCAAAGGTTAGCTCATCCGACGATGGTACAATGGCGGAACATTTCAGTGGCCCCTTTGCCAGAACCGAGAGTTAAACAAACATCCAACTTATTACATAGCCCCACTCCCCTCCCTTGAGCATCGTACCCGACGCTCCCCAAAGTCAAGCCCCCACTCTGGCCATCACAATGTAGGTGGTGCTGTAAAAAACACCCACAGGCCAACCCTGCTAGTCATCAAACTGTCATGCAACTGAGAAGATACTTGACTACAGCTTCACGGATCTCTCACGGCAATTTTACTGGATCTGGTGTTGTCTCCTGTAAGGAAACTGTTTTGTTGGCCATTGCTCATGTTCATTGCCATCCCTAGGGTTACTAGCCCAAAGCAGAGCCAAGAGCCAAAGGATAGGATTTAATACAGTTCCGTTGGGGTAGGGTTTCGCCTATATTCCTCCATTTCGCTTTGTTTTCACTTCCGTGGCATTTAGGCATATCTATCTGGATTCCATTTAGCTAGTAGAGGTGGTGGAGATATTACGTATTCACATAACTGATATTTCATACAAGAACGATAGACAGTTCCGTGATGAAAGCTTTAAAGATGGCCACGGCCTCGGCTAGTGTCGCTTCAGTTGTAAATCGTATTCCTACAGGACACGGAAGTGGGGTTGTTGCCGAAGGTAGACGTCATTTTAAACCCCCCTGTTAGGAGTTGTCGAACTTCTCCATTTGCAGCATATGCCCTTCCCTATCGTGCTAATGTTCATCACCCAGCAGCAGAAATTAGAATAGATATATTTTAAGGCCGGGTTAGGTTTCCGCTGTTACTAATGTAGCTCCCCGAGACTTCCCTAAGGACGAAAGAGGACATAACACTCGTTCAGAATATATATATTCGGCATACAAGTAGGCCTTTAGCTGCTGGCGTGGCTGAGAGGCCAACCCACTCGGCGAAGGTGTAATGGCGGAGCACATAAGTTGACCCCTTGCCTAAACCAAGAGTCAAACAAACCTTTAACGTATCATTTTACTTATTTATTTAAGTAGGCTTATACGGGACAGTAATTTTAACTCGTTACATAATGTTATTTCCAGAAGTGATTTTATCGTTATCGGTTTAATTAGCATGTTAATTCTTTTAATTAATGAAGGATGCGCCAGTTTGCTTTGTTTCTACATCATGTGTACTGGCTCTTAATTCTAGTTCCCCGAATGTTTGTCAGTCCGTAAGTTTGAGCTATGTAATTAAAATATTTTTTAATTATGCTATTAATCTATGCAATCCCAATCGCAGCCTTTACAAATTTCAGCAAATTACCAAGCGGCAGCGTTGGAATAGTGAACTGTCCGGTCCACTTCCTTTGGCCTGCCTCCATTTGCCCACGCACCGCTGAATATCGACCTACACCTGGCAAAAATCGATCAACCTCGGGCCTTGCAGTGAGGAGTAAATGTCACGCTGTGAATCGCAAGAGCCAGAGTTATTGATTTCACTCTGATCAAACCTTCATCACTTAAAAATCGATACCATCACTGTGGGAGGTCTGTGATGATGATGGTGAAGCCGCGAGTCCATCTCAGCGAGGAATGAGCCGCAAACACTACTCGGCGTTGCCGGCCTCATTAACGTAATGTTCACGCGGAAAAAAGTGCGGCTGCGTTGGCAACAGTTACGATAAATTGGCATTTCGGGGTCTGAAGTGGAGTGTTCAAATCAAAATGGTTTCGTAACATACTCCCTCATCGTTCGTATACAAGTCGCTTGAATGTACCATTGCAATCATAAAAACATGCATCGGACTTATGTTGCTGTTTTCCGGGCATTCCTTCCTCTCCCCGTGACAGTAACTTCAGTCTCCCTTAGCTATCAGCCGAAATCATTTCAATATTTAGCTGCATTATTACTTACTCATTAGTTAACAATTTCTTGTCATGAAAGCTATTCTTATCAGTCCTCTAGAGGGAGTGATTCCTTCCCATTCCCCTTAAGTATTCATACGCAGCTGCGTAGAGAGCTGTTCTCAAGCTTTCATTTGATGCAAATCATTAAATTCCCCTTGGATATTTAATCTATCTTAGGCGAATTAGACCCTGAACACACCTCCAGGCAATATTTAATCTGCGTTTTGTCAGCTGTCATAGGGTTAGCCTCCTCCCTGAGGCACCAAAGATCTAGCCTGTGACGCAGGCTGTCATTAGAACAAATCACATTGAAATTCCCCCCTTCCAACCTCCCTCTCCAGTTCCTCCCCCTTCCCCTTCAAGCTGACGACCTTGTAGTGTCGAACAGAGAAGGAGGCTTCCATTTCACGAATTCACACCAGGGAAAACACCTTTCGCACAATAGAATGTATGTAAAACAACAAAATGGAAGTGGAGGAGGAGAAGCGAGGAGGGGACTGTGTATCCAAACACACATTGGAAGAGGGAGAGAAGGAAGCTAATTATTGTGAGCAGGGTTGATCAATGTTGGAATCTTACTTAACCAACTTACTACTACTTGGATGGACATGAGAGAAAAAGTTAGTGCATTTTTTATAGGCTGTACACAAAACCATCGATGCATTCTCGATAAAACTATACGAGGTGGCTGGAGGATGAAAACAGCCTATTCACAGGAGACCTCTCCCTTGAGGGTTGGTTTTTCATGGCCAGCAGATTTCTGCGGATACCTTGACGTTGTTTCTGCCGGAGAGGACGATGAGGAAAGATCAGAGGTTCTGCGACAACGTTTTGGGCTGCCCATATCCAGGCCTGGAATCGTTTGCCATGGCAAATGAGCAGGACGTGGAGAAGTGAGTTTTAAATCTCCTCCATTGTCTGCGAAAGAACGAGGGCCTCCAGCAAATGCCACAGCGGCTGCTGCCATTGCAGACAGCGCAGAACTGCTGCTCACTCCCCCCATATGCGGTGGTGGTGGAGGTGGAGCTGGAAACACACCATCTTGATGAAGGTTCAGCCTCGAAGCCGCAGCGAATTGGGACGAAAACTGACCCGCTGTGGTATCGGAGTTGTGGAAATTGGAAGATGATGACGCTCCAGCAGCAATGGGAACTCCAGACGATTGAGTCGGTGAATTTGGCGATTTCGCAGAAGATGCGCCATCCCCTGAGACAGTTTTGAAAACACCTGATTGGAGAACAAGTCGACCCTGCATCAGTGGTTTCACATAACGCCGACGTGCGTTGATGAACCAATTATTGACAGTGGTTCGGGAGAGCCCGGTCTCCATCGCAAGCATCATTTTCTCCTCTTCAGAAGGATAGGGTTCTCGGAGATGGTCTACTAACCAACTGAATAGTCGCTTCCTCGCTGGAAAGGGGAGATTCGTACGCGATAAACCAACAGCTCGACGAATGCTGAAGAGTCCAGACATCTGAGGATTCGAAGACTGGGTGCAGGTGGTAGGAATGTTTGAGCTGCCTTCATACGCCTCGTGTTGTAAATGATGCTCTTCTGATAGCATCGGAGGTGGTGGTAGCGATGCCTGTTGCGATTGTTGCGGTTGTGTTGACACTCCGCCCTCAGAGCTGTTAGAAGGCGACGAACGCGGAGCCTCCTTCACACCGCGATGGAAAGCGTCCATTTTCCGCGAGTCAGCCGAAGGTGGTCGATTGCCCACCTGTTCCGGAAAGCCGGCGGACCCGCTGAGCGACTGACCCTCTGTGGCGTTGAAGTGTCTGTCTAAAAGTGAAAATAGAATAGAACGAATTGGGGATCTGAGGGAGTAGGTGGACGAGTGATTGTTTTGGTGGTGAAGGGCGGACTCGCCATACCATCTCATGCAGGCGGGCAAGTGCACGCAGTGGGTAAGTGGGTGGGCAGTCGGTAAATTAGGATCTCTCCTTTTTTCGTTCGCACAACAGAGAGCGGTACTTGTGTGTTTGAAGTGAGCGCGCGTGTGCGCTCGCAGTGGTCTTGTCAGGAGAGCGCGCAAGGCGTGCAGGCAGGCGCCGAGCAGCGCATCTTCGTTCTTCATCCTCAGCAGCAGCGATGCTGCTGCCAGTCGTGCCGGTGGCAAAAATACGTGTCATTTGCCGCTCCCCACGGGCAGGTGGTGATCACTGGCTTGCTTGCTCGAACGATCTTTAGCGCGCAGCTACCGCCACCACTTCGTGTTTTTCGTGCGTGCCGGCGTGTGTGTGTGTGTGTGTGTGTGTGTAACAAACGAGATGGAACACAATTTATAGGGGATCTTGCCGCCATCTATTCCGCATTTTTTTGCTTCTTTGAGAGCGTTGTCTCACCCTTTCACACACACACACGCTCTACCTGCTCACTTCATTCTCTTTTCGCTTCATTTCGACCCTTGGATAATTTCTGTCTCAGTCAGTCTTGCACCGATCATCTCCCCTTACCACACAAAATGATTCCGCAATATATTCGGGCTACGATTAATTGTAGTCATTCGCTTTTAGTACTTAATCATGGAATGAGGCGATTTTAGTGGGAATTTTTAAATTGCCTGCCTAACTTTCTTACTGATGAACGCGCTTTTCTTTGGTAAAAGGAGTAGTTCTCAACACCCCCAACGCTCGAATTCTGCTGTGAAATCAAGGCAAACAGTGTGAATCCACCAGTTTCTGATAATTAGAAAATAGTCACTCCGTGCTGAACTATTTCCGGATTATTTTACAGGTTAAAATCACCTCAGTTTGACATCCTTAAAATCGTTTGTTGGTCAAGAACTGCTTTACCATCGTTTAGTGATGGAAATGCAGACGCCAAAATATGCCTTGATAACGAGTAGTTTAAACATCGTGACTACGAAGACTCCTATCTCATCCAAAATATCTGTATTCCATTGCTGTCCTACATGTGAAATTGTTTTTACACGCTACACTACTGAAAATCGAAATAAGTGTATCAAAGGGACCATTGTTTGGAATTTTGCGTCATCACACAAAGGGTAGTGCTTGAAACTAAACAATTTTAGTAGTCTCTATGAAATCACATGAATATGATCCCATATTTGTTACTTTAACCAAACATGTACCTCAATGAATATGAGGTTTGTGGATATGCTTTTCGAGAAAGGAAGATTTAAATGTTCATTTATGTGCGAAAATTGGCAGACGGGTTTTAGTCATTTGATGGACTCACTTTTTGCGGAATCTCAACTCGCTCTCCACTCGGCGCTGCAGCATCATCAGGAAGCAGAAAGTCAACGCTCCGCAGCCCACCACCCAACTCCCATTGTGCTCGCAATGACACATGTCTAACGAAAAAAACGTGAATGGTATTTGTGGCGTGAGAACGCAGGTGATGGTGTGAGCTGGATTTTGAGAAAACCGTCGGCCTACAAAAACGATCATGTTTGCCTCTTTTACTCCTTATGATTTGACACGCAGATAGGTAGAAATGAATCAGGAGATCCGCTTACATTTGTGAGGAGAGCGTATAAAATGTAAATTTCGTGGGAGAATTCGACTTATTGTCTTATTACTGTGTGTTACTCACATCAATAAATACTACAGGCAGCACTGCGCTGCTAGGATCTTGTAGCTCAGAAGAAATGACAACTGCGTCACATGTTGGATGCCACGCAGCTGCGCTTCATATAATTTTGCTATTTAAGTGCAACGCGCGCGTTTTGCAACAATCTCCATACATTACGCTCAGAGCACGCGAAACTTGTTGTTGGATAATTAAAAGAACTTCTCGCGGATGTGGAAATGTGCTAGCAAATCTCTAGAAAAAAATGTGGGAAAATCGTGCCGATAAACGTCCGCGGTACAACTAGTGTTTTGACGCCATTTCCCTCTCTACCGCCTAATTATCTACTCCTCCATCCCACCTCTCTCTGTCTAATCATTTCATAAATGAGAGTGTATGATTCATCTCCCTTTGTTTTGTTGGATGGATATCGAGAGTGGTAAATAAGACATCTGACACATCGCTCCTCGCTCTATCCAACCAAGCTCTGGGCTCTGCTTACTCAAACAACACTAATTGGAACTTTTCTTGACGGGTGACGAACTTCAAATAATATCAATTCGGATTACATGCTGTAATATTTGACTAGGTGACACCACAATCTCCACTACAGCTTTCATATCGATTTGAGAATGAGTGACTCCTAGACGAGAAAGGAGTGGTGGTCTGAGGTTTGAATGTATTTCGCACCAATGCCTCACCTGCACGCAAACAAAAATCTGACCTCCGTATTTCTCCAGCTTCCGCGTAAATTTCCGCACCGTCCTTGACAAGGTCAGCACAAACGATGCTGCCTCTGCTCAGCCTCCGTGTTCTCATCAGGTCACTCACACACCATCAACATGTTGTTTATTGCCCTGCCTTTCTCTCTCCTTGCCCTATGCTGCTGCTTTAACGTAACCTCAGTTCTTTCTCTCCCTGTATGTGTGTGTGCATGTGCGTGTGAGAGAAGTTTCAGCACACTTGAACTCTGCTGTGTGTGTGTGATGTGAACAAACAGGCAATGACCGATTTGATCACAAGAACGAACGGAAAAAAATTCTCCTGCTAACTGCTCAGCATTAACATCTCCTTGAGTGCTTGTTCTTGGCTTGGCGCAGTAAGGTGGGAGATGGAATCCATGATCTTTTCACTCCTTTGAAATATGCTGTCTTCATGGGTGTATAGAGAAGTGTAAAACACTTTGTGGTAATTTGGACATCTCAAAAACCAGTTTTGTATTTTGACGGTTCATAGAACGAGGCCGATATGCTATTTAGTATAAGAGGGTCGAGTCAGGGTATATGCGTGTTGCGTGATGGATATTATTCTAGCATTCCTAGGTGGAGTAAACTTGTGACGTGAGAAATGCTGACAAACTTGTTCCATGACTTCGAGTTTCACAATAAATCTCATTGATCACAGGACCCGATGGTCTAGCAAAGGGATCTACCAGGCTATGGCACGTGAAAAGAAAGTAATTCAAGAAATACAGACCTACAATGATAGAAAATACCAGTCGTATTCAGGCGATATGAAATGATGGCGCAACAGATTTTGACCAACAACCTTGGTGATTTTGACTTTAAAACCCGATCTCGATTAAATAGCTCATCTTTTGACCCCAATTCTTCCAATCTTCTTGGGTGATATGAACTGCTGACATGTAAAATGATGACTGACGTTTTCCATAATTACCATTTAAAGTCGACGACTCGGCAACCAGACTTAAAACAGAGTGATTTACTAAATAGCGCTGAGGCGGCATTGAATCAGGAAACATTTATTACTTGTGATGTAAGACACCGCAATTTTTTGAATGGGTATTGGTGATGCGAGTAATAATGATTGACTGTTTCGGCGTTTTTTTGCTTAAAGCCATTGCTCTAGTAGACAGACCAAATGTATTTTCAAGTGGCTGGCAGGACGTCGCACCACCAGTACTGCGAGCAAAGTTTATCTCTGATTGTCAAACATGCACTGACGGCACTGAGTTCCCTCGTTTGAATATTCGCGTCTATAGACACAACTCTCACCATATTTGAAGAATGACAACTACCTCAGACCTCAAACCACGACTCACCCGACACTGCTTACACTAGATGGACAGGCTGATTATCAACGCCGTGCAGTTGAGACGTGGTGCAGGTAAATGTGTGTCCATCACAAGCCGTGTGAGTACGCCGAGGCTGGTATGAGCTCATGGGGTTCAGTTTGACTGACAATCTCCATTTCGCTGGCTCACACCCTCACCTTTCCTGGCCAACTCCATCACTCTCCCTCTCTCGGTTCACATCTTGCAGTTGTCACGCCTGTGTCAGTTTTGCTACTGCTGCTACTGTTGCTCTGGCTGCTGATTGACACACGTAAACGCCAGTAGTAGCAGTTGCAGTGGTGGGTCTGTCGACATCCTGTCCAGCTGTCAGTCAAGTCTCCACTGCCAAGAGAGCTTATCTGACGGATCGCATCTCTCTCTCCCTCTCTTACATACAGCAGCAGAAGAGAATCGGGGAGGGGACGGGAGTGAGAGCAGTGGGTGTGCGTGAGTTGCGTGTGTCCAACTGTGAGACGCGTGATCGCCTCTGGGGCGAAAAATTTTGATGTCCCTCCGCCGCACACACATGCACATGCATGGGCAAATGTAAATGTTTGTGACCTGTTCTTTCATTGTAGAAATTTAATTTTGTTCAAGTAATAAATCATTGGACAGACAAGTCTGTTAGATTTTGTATTAGTTTAGGACCTCTCGTTATACAAAAAATTCGCTCCAACTGATTTGGTTCAAATAAAACGATGCACCAAACCTAAACTAAAATGCGACGAATCACTAGGATGTCAGCATTTGAAAATGCGAGGTTGAAGAACTGTCGAGTCTGCTGTACCTATTATTACCTTAAAGACACTTTAAATTTATCTCCGCATAAGAGTTTGGTGAATATGCATTAAATTATTTTAAAAAATTTTGACGGTTGGATGCGTTTAAAGGCGAAACCTATAAATGGATAATTCCACTGTATTTCTCCTCCTCGTCACATTCGTCTGAAGCTATACCCAAATAGTACACGAAGAAGGGGCTTCAGTTTAGTTATTTCAATTAATTATGACTAACTAACAAGAAACTACAGTTAAAAACGCCCAGGTTTGATCATAACTGAATATAAGATTAGGAAAAATTGATGATGTCTTAAGCTTAGCATTCCTATGGTAAACACTGGCAGCTGTTTTTCAGTTATCAATCATGGGAAAGAATAACCATTCATTCCTAGTGCATTACATTAGGAAATTTAAACTAAAAGTCATTAAGTAGCGGATAATTTAAATGTGCCCCTCATTATACCAGTAATGAAAATTACTTCGGAACGGAAAAGGAAGTACTTATGGATTAAAATATGATTTAACTCCAAAATTCAACTGTCAATACTAAACTCTCCATAAGCCTCGTATATTGACATCTATAGTTGTGCAGTTGCGAAGAGAGTACATCACTACCATTGTAAGATAGAACCAATTAATCACCACGAATTTCTTAAAGTTGTTAATAAACTTATTATTAGAAATCAGGTGATCAAAATTTCCTTGTTTTTGGCATAATCGGGTGTCACGACTTGCTGAAACCTGTAGGCACCTGTCGAA